CCCCGGTAGAAACGGTACAGCCAGGCAGCTCTTTCTGCCTCAGCCAATAGGAAGCCCAGCGGGCCAGCCAGGAGGGGCACTCACCAGCACCTTCCTCCTGGGCTCGCTGCCCACGGTCACAGAGACGGAGCGAGCCAGGGGCTTGGTGGCCGAGGCGCTATTGGGACGTCTGGACATGGGTAGGGGCAGGCCGGTTAGGCTCAGGTCCATGTAGTCTGGGCTGCCCTCGGGGGCACCGCTGCAGGCACGGGCGCCCTTCATTGTGGTGAGGTGGCCTGGGCAGCAAAGTGAGGGAGGCGGTCAGGGGTGCTCCCAGGAACTGTGGTGGACGCCTGCCATCCTGGAGCTACCAAAGCAATACCTGCCTGCTGCCACGCCAGGGCACAGGGCTTGTCTCCCACCCTCAGCCGAGATCCAGGTAGGGCAGGGCAAGTGGGGTACCTCCCTGGGGTCCCCCATGTGCATACATGACTCTGAAGCCATGTGATGGGAGGCTGGGAGCCCAGTGCACGGGGAGCCCCGGCAGGTGTGGCCGTTCTAACAGGACTCAACCTGGGAAGTTCTGCGTCAACCAGCCCAGCACCCACAGGCTCACCTCCCACAGGCCTCCCGGCCCCAAGGAGTTGCTCACACTCGGAGTCCTGGCCCCGCATCCTGCTCTGCTTACAGAGTTGCCATCCTCTGCGTATGCTTAGGCTGCGCCTCAACTGACCACCCACCTGCTGGCAGCTCCCCCCACCTGCGCTTCCTGTCCAGACAGGTCCTGACCCCCAGCTCACATCACCAACCTGGATGGCACCTCCACATCCCTGTGGCCCAGCCAGCCCCCCTAGAGCCACCTCAGACGTGTCCTGCCTGCTGGTGTGAGGCTTGTAGCGGGGTCCCTCCGAGCCCATCACGCTGCCTCCCACTGCCCATCACGCCCACACACTGCCTGAAGGTGTGGGGCCACGCTAAGCAGTGGTCATGGAGTTGACTCCAGGTGCCCACCCCGCCCCACCCGTGTGTCAGAGGACTGTGCCCCTAGGGTTTCAGTGGCTGACTTTCAGAAGCATGTCACCAGGCCTGACGAGGCACCGCTGGGCAGACTTGAACTTCTAACCTTGCAGTGAGCAGCCAAGTGTGTGCTCTCCAGGGCCCTCCCTGCGTTGCCCAGCTGACCCCCTCCACTGGCGTTTTGGCACTGGGAAGAAAGCCCGCCCCTCCAGTGACCTACCAGGACAGACCCTGTTTCTGCAACTTGTCCCCCACCCCACCCCCGCCTGTCAGTGAAGCCACCTCCGAGCTGCCCCTCAAACCCAGTACCTGCCAGTCCCTCATACCCCAAAGGAGCCCCCACCCCACGCTCTGACCACTGACCCCTTCCTTTTTATGGGGTTCCTAGTGAGACACAGCCCCGGGACGGCAAGTGGCCCAGCCAGCGTCTGGATGGGCAGTGAGGGTCATGAACTGGCACTTGGGACACTGATGATCACCAGCAGGGCCAAGTGCCCAGGGCCCCCGGCTAGGGGCATGCCTCCGGTGGTGCTGCAACTCCACCGACCCTGGTCTGGGGCACTGGCCAGTCTCGCTGGACATCCCGCCCTGGGCACCCCACGCTCGGAGAGCGGCTGGGTTAGCACTTGCAACCGCCAGCTCGAGCGATAAACACGGCGCTTGCCATGGGAACCGCCAGGCCCGGCCTGGATGAAGAGGTGACCGGCGCTGGACGGCCACGTCTCGGTGGTCTACGAGCCACGCCCGCCGCCCGCGCTCCGGCCCGGCCCGCCTCACCTGCACCGCCCGGGAGCCACGAGCCGGGGCCAGGCCTCAGCCCACACCTGCTGACCGCGCGCCCGGGCTCTGCCTCCGCGACTCCCGCGACACTCGGGCGGCCAGGCGGCGGCTAGCAACCAACAGGCTCCACCCACTGCGTTCGCCACGCGGCCCGCCCCCGCCCGCGCCGCGGCCCGATTGGCCCGGGGGCCACCCGCTGAGGCCAACCCGGGAGGTTATTGGGTTGCTTAGCTGTCCTTCAGGAGGTCCCGGGTGGGAGGAGCTTCGGAGAGCTGGGGCGGGGGGTGGAAATCGAGGCGGAGGAGGCGGGCTGCGGATTGGACACGGGAAGGGGCGGAAACGCCGGGGGTAAGCTCGGGCTGTTGATTGGACGTGGAGAAAAGGGGCGGGCGCAACGGAGGCGGGGCATTAGGGCGAGCGCGGGCTGCAGATTGGACGGGTTAGGAAGGAGCGGAACCGGTGCGGCCTAGCAGCCACAGGCGAGAAGGGAGAGCGTCGCATGCGCGGTCCCTCGCGGAGGCCTGTCTGGACGTGCCGACTCAAGACCCCGGGCCGGGCCTGGCCCGCTCTCCCGTGGGCAGGGGTCCCGGGGCCCCCGCTTTCAGGGCAGCCTTGCGATGTGTTTCAACGGAGAGAGCCATTCCTTCGCCTCAGCCCCCCGCTGCGGCCTCTGGTCCCTGCACCGCTCGGCGGTTCCCGCCTTCCTGCTCGCCCTCTGACCTTGCTCTTCCTTTCCCAGGGAACCTCTGCGCTCCTGCCCTGCACACCCAGTCTCTCGCGGGAGTTGCACCCGCTGTACGTCCTCCCCATGCTGCCGGGCAGGTGGGTCCCCACACCCACCCGTGACTCGATAGTCCAGGCGCCTGAAATGCTCAGACGGATGGTCCCACCACCACCCCGTCTCCCCGTCTCCAGGAAACCCTAGGCTCCTGGGTGTGCAGGGCTGCGACTTGGAGGGCAGGGGCACAATTCCACCCAGGTCCCCTCTGTCCACACCCTTGGGTCCTAGGCCCATTCCTTCCCTTTCATCACACGTGAATTTGCAGGCTAGGCAGCCTTGGAGCCTAGAGCAGTGGTTCTCAACCTTCCTGATGCCACGACCCTTTAATATAGTTTCTCATGTTGTGGTGACCCCAACCATAAAATTATTTTCGTTGCTACTTCATAACTGTCATTTTGCTACTGTTATGAATCGGGCAACCCCTGTGAAAGGGTTGTTTGACCCCCAAAGGGGTTGCGACCCACAGGTTGTGAACCGCTGGCCTGGAGTCTCTCCTGCTGCAGCTCTCTATGTTGCTATGGGGAGAAAGACGGGAGTGGTGGTTAGTCTCAGAAACCCGCAGGGGACAGGCCTACCCTCTGTAGGGTCAGTCGGAGTCCAGCTGGACTCCATAGCTTTGAGCTGTCTTGTTGCATCTCAGTAGGGCAGACTTGATGCATTTGGATGAGTGTGCTGCCACAGAGCACGTGGAAAGGATGTGGACCTCAGCCAAGAACAAGCAAATCTGCCCCGGGCCAGTACACCAGAACGCTCCTTGCGGGCAGGGATGGCGAGACTCCCTTCCATGTATTTTGGACGTGCCGTCAGGAGAGCCCTGGAGAGGGCATCACGCTTGGCAATGGAGGGGAGCAGCAGACAAGAGGAAGGCCCACGACAGGATGGCTGGCACAGCACTGGGCAGTTTGTTCTGTGGTTGCTGAGTAGGAACCAAGGCAAGGACACCAGGGGGCAGTGTCTCTGGGATGCCCTGCGCTGATGCGTGTGCTCACCATCACCAGCAGGGGGGCCTGGAGGTCTCCAATCTGGTGCAGTTAACAGGGGTGCAATTTGAGACTTATGAGTGAATGGGCGGGGGGCCC